TAACCAGCCTTGTTCATGATGGGTACTCGACAATCGGGACAAAATAGTACTATATGTAATATATTTTGTTGGCTTATTATTCTCTATAGCCCTATAGTATTTCACATACGGTTTTTTAAAAAGCTAGTTATTGCGATTTATTGAAAATTCTAGGGTACTTGAGTCAGAAGTATTATGGTACGTATACCTCAGTGATTCCCATTCGTTACGTTTTTCAAGAGTATTCGGTCAGGAAAACTATTGATATACGTGTAGTATGCGGGATTTGAAAACTCTTGACAAATCATACTTGACGTACTCTGGTAAGAATACGCCAGCGATACTCGATACGTGACGTATGCAATAGTATTCAATATGAATACCCTAGGGATACGTCAAGTATCATCCTGCGACTTGAATACCTCCGAATACGCGTTGTACCACGGGAATATTCTGGTCCTGAAAACTATTGAATACCGGCCTTTTTGCACAGTGTAATGAACTATCAATTTATGATAAAAAGTCTAATAAATGGAACAAGCTGGATGCACTTCCGCCAGAAATTAAAAATCTTCTTGGAAGACCAGCTGAAGAAATCTTAGAAGAGGGTGATAAAGAAATAGAATCCCATAATGATGAGATTAGACACATTGAACCTTTAGTAATAATAGATAACCAAAACATAGAAGAGGCTGAGCGTGCCATTGAAAGAAATCAAGCCCGCCAAGAAGAAGTAAGTCGCCAGGCAGATAATGCCCCTGATGCCGTCGAGCAATGCGTATTAAGGCTCGCTATGATTTGCTTATTACAGAAGCTAATGAATTAGAAGAATCAATTGATGCTCTTAAAAGTCATAAAGCTCGCGAAGAATCTAGAATTAGAAGTCTTACTGCACAAAGAGAGGAGTTAGAAGCAAATCAAGAATCCATAGAAGAAACGTTACCTCTTCGTGAAAGAGTCAAACGTGTTTTTAAGAAATACGGCTTTACAGTAACTGCTGTTCTTACAGCCGTCGGCATTACTATTGGCGTTATTGTTTCTCAACTTAAATCCGGCCTAACTGGAGTCGCTAAAGGTGTAGGCAACGGTTTGAAAACTTTAGGAACTAAACTCGGCCAAATATTGCCTGGCATGATTGGTGCCATCGCCAGTTTTATTTTTAGAACTGCCGGCGAAGTTGTGGGATTTTTAGCTAAAAATGCCTGGCTGCTTATTGTCGCTGTTGTTGTTTATTTTGTAGAAAAAGTGAAAAAGTCGTAATTTTTTAAAATCAAAAATTAGATATATATAAGATGACCGATTACGACACACTATACCCAAATATTTGCGGAGACTTCAGACTACATAAGGCCAACGAGGCTCTATCAAAATTAGCACATGAGCGTGTGCATTATGAAAAAGTTAGAAAGAAATACGTAAGATGGAGATCGCTTTTCCATATTTCATCCATGGCAGTTGGATCTTTGTCCGTTATTTTTGCAGGCGCCGGCGTTGCAACTTCACTCACAGGTCCTGGAATAATAGTTGGAATTGAGTTTAATTACCGCCTCTCTCACCGTTGTTAGTAAAAAACTAGCCAAGAAAATATCGAAGCATGAAAAAACAATCCNGGGAAATTTAAAGAAAAAATTATATCACTTTCCCGGCGATAGCTGGCCTGCGGAGAATATTAATAATTTTTTAGTCACCGACGATCAAAAAGCCTACAAAGAAGCCACCGAACAGATTGAGGGATTCCCCCAAAAATATAGATTTAACGGTCACGCCGAGTATAGTATAAATTCAAATCCTGACAAATTAAATTATTATTCTTTTGATATTTACATCACGCCTAAACAGAAAACAAACTTCTCTTTTAGAAACATATTCACCAACAGTCTTATGACTTTCAAAACRGCAAAAGAAGCACAAAGATGGTTAGATGCCCCTAATTTAGCTTATTGGTCTCAAGCATTAAATTTTGCAGTCTGGTGTTCCACTGCCGGATGTGGCGTTACGCGTGACATGCTCGATGACTCACAAGTGGGTTCTTTTTTATAAATTCCACGTCATATTTACGATCAGACGTGTTTTGAGCGAGTTACAATGCCCGCTGCCGAAAGATAAACATTTTTCTGAATTCTATAATTTTTATAAYAAAGCAGCCTATCAAAAATTAAGAACCGAATTCAAAGCATCTAATGATTTTAGATATATTAGCCCCTACTCGCACGGCCTTGGGCTTGTTTATTCGTATGACTATCACGGATAAATAGCGATCCTAGAGAATCTTACGTACCCTATAAAAGCGAATTACAACTACCTGATGAGTGGAAATCTACCGATCACCAGAATCATTTTGAAATAGTTTATGTTAGAGATCCTAAAACAGCTTATCAGTATGAATGGTCCTTTCCTAAAATATCACAAGGGCTTACTAAAGCCGGCCTAAGTAGAAKTAATCAGTCGATAGAAGCTTTCGTTTATTGCATCCTCGGCTCGCAAGCACAAACTCGAAATAGCATTCTCGGTAGCAGCGGCGGCAATGAGGAGACGAAACAAGTCTTTTTGAAACTTTTTGAATCTTGTGTTGTTGAGAAGGATATTAGCAAATCTTTTCAACGATATCAATTCGCATTACAACAAGCAAAACAGAAACTCGACTTGGCTCTTGCCCTCGGATGTTGGTTGAGTCCTTCATATCTTTTAATAAACACTTCATCGATTGCTGGGTACAATAATAAATTACAAAAAGCTACAACTAATATGAAACTAGACGCATAGCTGCGTGAACTCGGGGTTCTGCTTGAATATATCATAAAACGATGAAGTGACAACAATGAGTGTTGTAGTCGAAGAATTGAGAAGAATTGGACTATATTGAACCTTAATAAAGTTAATAGTCATACTATCAAAAGGCGTAAAGCAAAGAATACTTCCTGGAATAAAAAATAATAAAAAAACAGTGTACTCAGCATAAATATCATGAAAAAATTGATCATCAGCAAGCCGGTCTTTGATAGTCACATGACAGGCTGTAAACTTTTAAGTCTTTTATCTTCTCCGCTCTTACATTCGTCGGCTTTTCCTCAGAAGAATCTGTTGGCATTCCTTAGACGAGACCTTAGTAGTTTCAGAGCCTGCATAAGTTCGTATACAGTTCGCTTGTGCTAAGATAGGTAGCTTGTTTGATAGACAATTCTCGATAGACTCGATCTCGATAGACAATAAGATAAATTCTCGATAAATTTACGTTATCTTCTGAAATTCATTTTTCGGAAAAACGCTGGTCATATTTTAGTGTGGCTATGCCACGAAAGTGTGGATATTTTTAAGTGATTTGAGCTTATTTGTAGACGTTGAATTTCTGTCTTCTTCCACCTCGCGTATTACAGTCTCGCCGACTATTCTCGTCGGTTTGCACATGAAGTCATCAGTCGAAAAAAATTCTAAAATCACAGACACACAACATTAAAGTACTACCTTGAAGAACATAATAGAAGTTCTCTCTGAAAGTTTCAACTATTTTTGCTGTTTATTCGTTGAGTTATTAACGTTGAAAAATATGTCACGCAATACTGTCAAGCTACTTGAAACACGCCAAATTAACCTCGGAAAGCCTATAAATCTTAAAACAACTATAGTCTCAGCATTAAATTAAATTTTTAGAATGATATTGTTAGAAAACTGAAGCAAAATCATTACTTTTGAGCTTATTTCGACACTCAGAGTTACTGTCCGCGTGGTTGTGTACTGGAGGTCACTGGATAGTGCCCCATACATTCCCTTGTAAAGTAAGACCATATTCAAACGCTTATATTTTTGCTAAAAAATCGCAGTTTGACTTCAAACTTTGCATAATTGTTGGGAATTATATGCTGTTTTTGGCCATGAACATGAAAAATTCATTTAGATCTTAAANAAGCCCGAAATTTAAACTCTGGGTTCCACAGGAACCCCGAGTAATTAGTTGTTAATAATATAAATAAAGAAATTATTACTGTAAAACATAATCTCGGGTCTAGTTATAATCCTAAAGACCATATAGAACCCAAACCAAAACATCAGACAGAAAAATCGCCTACTAAAAAGTCTAAAAAATCCTCTATTCTGGCATTAAAACACTCAAACAATCTAGCTGCTGTTACTATCGGCGCGGCAGGTTTAGGATGGTATATGTTTAGATAATTTTCACAAAAAGGTTTCACATTTGTGAAATATTTCACAAAAAAGTTTCACAATTGTGAAGAAAAATGTGAAGCTTTTGATTGGCTGATTATGACATAATTCGTTACTATATATGGAGTGTGACTGTCAAATGGTTTATGATGATTTTGAAATGGTTTGTTATTCATGCGGCAAAATAGAACCGGCTTGCCCTACTATTATTTATAATGATGATTTATTCAGAAAAGAAGGACGATCATCTAAGCCGGCCGTATTTAACCCTTCGAAACACTTTAAAGAATGGATTGATTTAATTCTCGGCCGAGAGACTTTTTTACCAACTAATGTTTTAGAAGCTTGTGCGAATGATAAAACCGTAGAAGATATTAGAAAGAGTTGTATATCTAGGAACCGTGATCGTAAAACCGTAATGTAACTTATCGGTTAATAAATAAAAGGAAACAAGAAACCGACGAGTTCAAACTATGCCACTATCGATTGGAAGCAAAACGCCATAACATTATTTTCGTTCAAAACAWCATGGCTCAACGTTACCCCGAACGTATTAGAAAGAAAACCGAGAAAGGAGTTTTACGCAATCCAAAGACATCGAGATAAATGTGAAGTTTTATGGAATAAAATCGTCAAATKCATGGATCACTTGGAAACATCTTCTCTTTTCGTCGACAACGTCAACCTGGTAGAAAATGATCTCCAAAGCTTTGAGAAACTAGRTGATGASKTATGTTCGGCYTATCAAGACTGGTGCTCTGATTTAGAAAACGACATCGATATTACGTACGCTCACGCGTGGTATGAAGAACGTCGTTTAAAGGCTGAAAGATTTATCGCTRGAATGAAAGATTGGATTGTTGTTGCCAAACGAGACATAGAAGAACATCTCGAAAAACCCGTATCTGAACCGAGATCGACTGCATTGTCGCAACGATCGTCAGCATCTGCAAGAGCCTTGCAAAGAATTAAAATTGCTGAATTGACTGCCACGTCCAATTTACTGGGAAGAAAACAAGTACTCCGAAATGAAATGGAAAAATTGGAAATGGGGGAGAAATTGATAATTGCCAAAGCCCGAGAACGAGTGCTCATCGAATCAGACAAAGAGCTTCAGCAAAGATTATCAAACACCGTTCCTACTTTTCTGCCTTCTCAAGAACTGGAGTCATCACGACATATCATTGGAACGGGCTAC